ATCTACCTTGAACTAAAGAGACTGAAGAAGGAGCGAGAGGAGCAGACGGTGCGGTTGGAGGCAGAGCGGCGGCGGCTGGAGGAGCAGGAGCGAGAACAGCTGAGTCTGGTGGGGAGGCTGGAGGAGCAGCTGAGGGAGAAACAGGAGGTCGCTGCCACTCTGCTGACCCGGGAGGACGCTCGCCGCCTGGAAGACGAGCGCAGGGCGCTGGCAGAGATCAGAGGAGCTCTGCTTCGCGCCAAGGAGGCCGGAGAGCGAACGGAAGACGAAGACAGTAGTAAGGACGAATCGCGGTCTGCTCATGCTCGATATACAGAGTTCAAGGTGAACCAGTTGAGGGAGCTCAGTCAGCTGGAGGAAGACCTACAACAGCAGAGTGGACGCCTGGAACAGGAGGTTGTAGCTGAGCGTAACTCCTTGCAGCTCCTGGCCAATGCCTTCACAGAAAAGCAGCAAAAACTGAAAGAGATGCAGGAGGAGGGAGCGGTGGACGGACCGTCTGTGAGCCAGGAGGAGCAGCTGATGAAGCAGGCACAGCAGAGGCTGAGGGCTAAGGAGCAGCAGCTGAGCGGTCTGTCTGAAGGAGTCCTTCCTGCACTGACTGAGGAAAAACAGCGCGTCAAAGAGGTGCTGGAGCGGAGCGCTGCAGGAGGCCAGGACCAGGACAGCCGGCCAGAGCTGGACAACACTCTGTACCAGGTGGAGAAGGAGCTGGAGGACAAGGAGGAAAAACTGAAGGTCCACCTGCAAAATGCTCAGCAACTCCTTCAGCTGCAAGAGACGTACGAGTTCACCGCTAACGTGGTGCGGCAGGAGGAAAAAGTCAGAAGAAAGGAGAAGGAGATCCTGGAGTCCAGGGAGAAGCAGCAACGGGAGGCCATGGAGCAGGCGGTTGCCCGGCTGGAGAGGAGACACTCAGCGCTGCGGCGCAGCATCTCCACTGAGCCAGATGCAGACGAACAAAGACTCAAGAGCTCCGCCCAGGGGAACCAGATAGGGGAGGAGCCTGACCAGCAGAGGTCAGAGTTCTGTAATCAGACTGCAGCCACGCTGTAATGTCACATTATACTGTTCACAATGACACATGAAACAGGGGTTTTTTAAATCAAATACTCTTTTGTCCGCTTTGGTTCATTTTTTTTTTTCTCCAGGGTGGAGCGGGAGATCCAGAGTCTGAAGCAGACGATCAGTGAAGGAGAAGAGAACAACAACAAGAACAACAGTGTCCTCAGAGACGAGGACATGACGGTTCACACCCTGTCTCCTGTCAGCCACATCCAGAGCCTGACAACGCTGCTGCCACTGTCTGACGACAGGTACTGCCTTCACACACACACACACACACACACACACACCTCAGAGCTCCTTTGACTTAACCTCATAAATATATATATATATATATAAAATGTTTTGATTTCTCTGTCTTTGATGCGACAGGATAAATGCATACATCGAAGAAGAGGTACAGAGACGGTTACGTAAGATGAACCTTATGAACGGCAGCAGCAACAGTGTTGGAGGAGGAGGAGGAGGAGGAGGAGGAGGCGTGGATCGATCCCAGTCCTGTGAATCACTGAAGGTGATGATATGAATAACTGTCGTGTATTTAACAAACTTTACATTCAGACCTACACTCTCTTCAAGTGTCAATTTTCAAAATAAACCAACAGTAATTCTCTAAATCCAAACAATTTTACACATGAATAAATGAATAAATGAGTGCAAATGTAATTCTGGAATGACTATATAATCATAATTCTGCAGATCTGTGATTTCTTTCTTCTGCTACTAGAATTGAATATCAAAATTCTGCATCCGAGGTCAGAATTTGGACGTAACATTTATGTTGTTTTAATCTAAATATAATTAATTTTTTATGCCACCCTCAGGATGAAGAGAAGCTGCAGAACGTTAACCAACGGAAGCTCAAATATGAGGTAAGATCTTGCATTTCATCACATTAAAAACTTGATCATGTTGACATGAATTCTTGTAATATATTTTATAAATAATTTATCTTTAAAAAAAATCACTGCATGAAAAAAGATTTTCAATAATGTGACGGATTAACCTTTCTGAAATCATCTAAAGTTTTTGTCCTTGTAATCAAACGTGGGTAGTCGTGTTTTGTAAAGTTGGGTTGTCTGAGAGACTTATTGTGAAGCAGCAGCAGCGACTGTGCTGTTAGCGCCTCCTCTGGCTTGAGTAATACTGGGACACTCTGTGTGTCTCAGTGAAAACATGGCTGCCAGCAACAAGACCAGAAACACAAACTTACTCCTCCAAACCAAATACAGCTGTGATTTTTAGCTCACAGCAGTCTGTCAACCGCTGCCCCGTGTGGTCACCTGCTGCTGCATCTTAAGTTTACATCTGAACATTAAAGTTTGGCTCAAGCCGTTTTTCCTGGTGATTCTGCAGACAGCCCTGTTCAGGTCCACGTGAGTTCACGTGTAGAAGAATTCGCAGCTGCGTTTTTTGCTGTTTGTGTTGTTGTTCACACGTCCTCCTAATCTGCATGTCAAACCTTCTCACCCTGTTGGCTTTGAATCACTTGACAAACACAGCTGTGCACCTGGTGATGCAGGATCTGTAATTCTCAATGTGGTGAATTCTGGCCTGATTCAGAGAGCCTTCACGTCTCTCTGACGATGTAGTCACGGACTCCCTCCCCCTTGTGCACACAGAGAGCAAGCGGTCGGAGGCCAAGTTGCATCTCCGCTGAGAAGCGTGGAGCAAACTCTTCTCCTTCTAAGTCCGAGCTAAACTCCCCACAGGAAACCAAAAACCTCTTTGAAACGCTCAACATCGAGGGGAACCTCGAGCCCACGGTGAAGATCCTGACTGAAAAAGAAGTTCCTCTCAAAGACCATAACAACGTCACATGGTGGAGAACTGGAGTGAACATTCCTGTAGAAGAAGCTGAAACAGAACTCAATAAACTTAATAACTCAAGCAACAGTGACGACAGCAGATGTGATGAGAATGAAAATGTTACCGATGCAGGAACTCATGGCGATCATGTCTTTGTGAGTCCAAGTGACGGACAGACGGGTGATGTGGCAGGAGTCTGTCCTAGGGTAGGCCGTCTCCTGGACTCACATGTCCTGAACCGAACATTTGATCTTGAAGATGACGCCGATGTAGAAGTTGTCGGTGATAAATCCTCAGACTCTCTGAGCTCCTTCGGTGATGACACGACTTTCAGGAAAACTGATGAATGCACAGGAAACGCAGAGGCAGAGAGAGGAGCGGAGAAGGCGTCGGCTCTCAGTAGATATGATTTAGGATATTTCGTTGGAAAACTGTCTGATGTTTACAAAGATGCAGGTAAAAGGCTGCAGGACACGCGGGACGTAATCTGGAACGCCGGAGTGGATGAAGTGAAGGTGGCGATCTCTCGTTGCCTGACGTTGGTCTCCAAAGAACTGCCTCTGATTCATGGAGTGCAGCAGAACACACATCAAGAAAGTCTGGGTCAGAATTCAAAGGATCTCGCAAATAATACACCTCAGAGCCCCGATAGGTCTGTGTTCATGGACGTCTCACGTTGGCCTGAAGGATCCGTGTCCTCCAGCCGAGGACAGGACCGCTGTAGTCCTGTGGTGTTTCATCAGAGGCTGGTGGAGATGCCTCCAGTCCTGGCAGAACTGCAGACGTGTTCCTTCTCAGAACTCCAAGAAAGGTTGGCTTCTGTGTGTCCTCAAATCCAAGGCAGCAAATGTCTGGGAATCTTCTGGATCAGAACAGCCAATAGGGGGCAGCCTAATCCAAAACCTGGCTGCTTGCTTATTTTAGAAAAGGACATAACGGTGGTATCAGCTGGTCCTGTCGGCACGCTGACCGTTTCTCACCACTTCAACCTCAGTGAAATCAAGACGGTCCAGGTGGGTTTGGCTGGACAGCACCTGCGCCTGATTGGCTGCTCTGAAGACGCAGTCTTGGCTGTCTTCACTCACAGCACCAAGCTCAGCCAGGACTTCTGTAAGGTTTTGTTGGAGGCTGTCGCTCCTGGAAAGTTCTCTGAAGATACTGAGGGTCAGCAGCTGCTCTGTGACGACCTCATGGTCCTCTCTCTGACCTGGTCCTCCGTCCTACCCGACGTTGTCCTGGACAATTCTGGTCTTCGTCTCACCTCTAGATTCAAGCGGGTCCTCGCGGACTTGCTCTACATTGTCCACGGGAACATGGACGCCCTGGACAGGCCGTCCCTGGCTGACGTCCGTCCTCTGCTCTACACGAGCGTCAGGGTTGTCAACTTGAGACGTCCTCAGCAGGACAACATCTGTCAGTTCCTCCTGACAGACACTCACGTGGTTCTTCTTCTGGAGGACGGCGTTTTTCACCCAGTGCCGCGGGGCTCCACTCTCAACCCAGTCCGGCCTCACTTTCGAGTTCTCCAGCTTCGCAAGCGATCCAACAGCAGATGTCTTTTCGTGAGGCAGAAGGACGGCTGCGTGGTAGTGGACATCAGGTTTCCCGCATTTAAACGTCCAAGTGAAGAGCAGCAGGCGGCGCCCGGACCTACAGCAGCTGAAGAACCCGTGACCTGCCACGGCAGCCGTCGGTGGGATTCCTGGAAGCTGTGTTTTGGTTGCACAGCAGATGCTGTGACTGTGGTCAATCAGCTGAGCCGCTGACGCTGACGCTGCTGCTGCTGCTGCTGCTGACGCTGGCTGCCGCTGACGCTGAAGTTGACGCTGGCTGTCGCTGATGCTGCTGCTGTCGCTGGCTGCTCCGCCCTGTTTTATGGATGACTTCAATAATTTAGAGTTCAAATTTGTTAAATTATCTCCATCAATTTAAGATATGTAGAAACAAAATGATGAAAATGTTTTTTAAATTATTTTAAAAATTTTATAAAATGTTTCTTGCCAGGTTAAGTCCAATAATTTAGAGTTCAATATTTGTTAATTTATCTCCATCAATTTAAGATATGTATAAACGAAATTCAGCCGTGATGAAAATGTTTTTTAATTCTTTTAAAACTTTTATAAAATGTTTCTTGCCAGGTTAAAAAAGAATGAATAAATAAAAAGAATTGTGTGAAGAGAAAACAAATGTAAATTATGACAATAGTTCTGAATTTTTAAAATTAAAACCGTGACGTAAAATGCAATAAAATAAAGAAAAAGAGGAGTCACTCCACTGATTACTTTTACATGAAAAATGTTACATAAATATAAAATTATGAAAATAAAAACAACATTTTGGAGATGTAAGACACATTTCCATATTTTCTATACAGAATTCTGACTTTTATTTAATTTTTAACTAAGATCATAATTAGCTGTAGTTTTGTTTTTTTCGTCAGTTTCGTTTGTATTACTGTCAATAAATAAAGCTTGTGTTGTATTTAACTACCATCTCTTTAATCTGGTAAATCCTTAAGTTTCGCTCATAAAATAATAAAAAATGTTTTGGGTTTTTTTTTCTTTTTAGATGTGAACTTTTAAACTAACTTCTCTAATTAACCTGACTACATGAGGTAGTTACCACTTAATCCAGCAGGGGTCAGTTTAGTCGCACCGTAGGTCCCGTGTACTGTAGTTTCTCACCAAAGTTGTCTTAACCTTTGTACTGCAGTATTTCCTAGTAACTGAAATGCTGTCATTTCATGTTGAAAGTTCTTCATCTAGACTTTATTTTCAAACCTCTTTCTTTCTTTCTTTTTGCTCCTCCTTCCTTCCCTCCTCGGCTCCTTTTGTACCTGCATGTCATGAAAACCCCGAGGACTGTGATCAAATTAGTTTTAACTTAATTCAGACACTTCATCTCTCTCTCCTACAGTAAATCTAAGTCCAGGTATTAATTCACACCCGTCGTCACTTCCTCACCTCTCGGCTTTTCTTTTTTTTTCTCATCAAACTTCCTCTGCAGCATTTACTTTCTCGCCCTCTGGTGTCGAGTGGCGCCGCCCTCCAGGAGCCTGTCAGAGTTACCATCCCTCGCTATGTGCTGCGAGGCCAGGGCAAGGACGAGCACTTTGAGTACGAGGTGAAGGTGAGTGGGCGGAGTCAGCTCAGTCTTTTGGTTTCTGTCTGTCTGTCGTACCTGTGTCTGACTATGTGTCTTTTCTCAGATCTCAGTGATGGACGAGACATGGACCGTGTTCCGACGGTACAGTCGCTTCAGGGAAATGCACTTTAGCCTAAAGATGAAATATCCAGAGGTAAGATGGACCTGGAACACCTGTCTGATCATGGTGATGTCTTACTAACATTTGTGGCTACCTCTCCTTTTAGCTTGCAGCTCTTGAGTTCCCGCCAAAGAAGTTGTTTGGAAACAGAGATGAGCGGATGGTGGCTGAGCGTCGCTGCCACCTAGAGGCAGGCTATTCTTTTACTTCACTGTTATTTACACATGCTAAAGACAAATATACAGTAGACGTCATTTAACTCTTTGATTGTTTTTTTCTCTTTTTTTTTTCTTTAAAAACAAAAAAAAAACGTGTTCAGAGTGATGATGTCATCCACCAGCTCGCCACTGAGAAACAACACTGGCTTCTGTCTGTCCAAACACACCGTCTGTGAGTTTTCTCCCTTCTTCAAGAAGGGGGTGTTTGAGTATGGCAGTCACGGCACCGGCTGACTGACTGTGCCAAAAACCAAAGTGAACTGGAAAATCCAAAATGTCCTCCCAGGGAGTGAGTTGGCAGAAACAGCAGGTCGGTTTCTCCCTGACATCCCTGGAAATGAAGATGACAGTTGGTTCTACCAAAAACAAAAAAAAACAAAAAAAACATCCCTGACTTTGTTTAAAAAGTCTGAACGGGGAGTTGTTAAAGTCACCACTGAACGAACCTCAGATGGACCTGTATCCACACGTCGACTCGATGAAGTGGTTAGGACCAGAGTTATCTTTTAGTGAATCCAAAAGAGTATATGGCTGCAAGTCCATCCAAGGTTATCCACTACAATCGTTCTGACTGTTCTGGACATGAACATCAACACTGTAAACGTAGGAAGACTGTACAGTTTTTAGGTCGTTTTTTTTCTAAGACAAGTGGCTGCATTCCAAAATTGCTGGTTTAATTAGCTTAGCATACGAATCTGTACAGCAGCTGGTGCGAAAAGCCATTAGTGCACTTCCCTGCAGAATAAATGCAATTGCAGTTTCCTACTTTGAAGGTTTTTTTGTATATTTAGCGCAACCTAGCAATACTTTTTTGGCTGCTGAACTGCATGTCTCGGCGAGTAATGAAATCTGTAAGCCATGTCAACTGTTCACGTAGCTTGTGTTTTGTACTTTTGTGTTTGATTTTAAAATGTCTTTAACAGTGTCAAGGAAAGCAGAGCTTTATAGACTCAAATTTCAGCTTTGGTAACAATTTGAACGAGGGCTACAGCTTTCGTCGTCCTTTTTTCTTACAGCTGCCATAGAGACATATCTATCGTGCTATTTTACTTTGTTAGCATCGATGCAGAGGGCTTTTCGAATCAAATAGCCGACATGATCTTTAACGTATAAACTTTTGACAACTCCAGTCTGGGGTTATGCTTATTCATTAGGATATTCTGTGTAAATCATGAACATCTGCTCTACTTATATTAACATCCACTCAGTGAACTAAAAAAAACAGGATTTCTGAAACTAGTCCGCCTTAGTTAGCTCTGGCAAGCTAAAAAGCTAGCGGTTGAACATTAAATCTCCATTATGGTAATTATGACGGTAACACGGACTGGGCCATGGCCTCTACTACAGTTTATGCCGCTGCCATCAGGTGGCAGCATTGAGACACTGCAGGTGTTTTCTGCATTATTGCCATGTTTTTATTATAAGCCACGACGAATGCAAAAATGTACAAAACTGAACATTTCTGACACTTTTTACCACGATTCCTGCCACAGACAGATGTTATTTTGTACAAATAAACCAAACATTTTTAAGAAAAATATAATATTACAGGTTTTTCTTTTGTTCATGTGACAAATACAGTCGTATGTACTTGTAGATCAAATAAATCCACATGTGATTATGTGGACATAAATCCACAGATGTGAGGTGACCAGGTTAACTTGATTCAATACTTGATACTTCAATAGTGGGTCACAAAAAAAAAATCAAAAAAAAAATCTAGACACTCTTTAACCACAGAAACGAACATTTTTTTAATCATTCCATAAATGTTATTGATGAAAATCCATTGAGATCATGTTGTCTTCTTTCAGTTTCTTTCAGTTTCAGTTTTGTCACAGTTGAGTTTTGCTGTCAGCTGGGTAATGTAAGCGAAGGCCCAGTCAGGATCTGTTTTGCTGAGAGGAGGTTGTGACAGGGGACATTCAGGGCACTGAGGGTCTCTGTGCAGCTCTGCAGCAGACGGTCGTACTCCTGCAGGACAAAGACATTCTCAGCTGCTGCATGAGCTCACGTTCTATGAAACAGTTGGCAGAAACTCACCTGACATTCTCGAGCCAAGTCTTCCTGCGCAGCATCTATTGAATCTTGTTTGGAAGCCAAGATTTCCTGAAATCAGGACAAAAACAAACACGTGTTACTGTGTGATCAGAAACATTTTTGAGGGCACAGATGTTCTCGAATAAGACGAGGGAAGAGGAAACTTTCTGAATCAGCCATATCGTCTGGCCATCATTCCATCTCTGTTCTGATATCTTGACAGAAACGTCTACAAACAGAACTCTGCCTTCACAGACCGATCACCTCCAGTTTGTGGGCGGCTCTGTATCCTGTGGTCTGGCCTGCTGCTGCTGCTGTGGTGGTGGTGGCAGCTGCAGCTGCAGTGGCTGCCAGTGCACTGCAGAGCTGAGCCTGGTTCTTCTCCAGTGTCTGCGTCAGAGCCTTCAGCTTGCTCTCCAGCAGCAGCTCCTTCAGCCCGCTCTTCTGCTGCAGCTCCAGGACAACATCCGTCTGCTTCTTCAGCAGCTCATCACGTTCCTGCTGGACCTGGCCCACACAACAACAAACGTGTGTCAGTGCTGGTACATTTGGAGCAGCCTTAGGTCAACATGCAGCAGAAGAGCAGTGTTCACCTTCTCAAAGGCCTGAAGCAGCATCTCGTGCTCCACCGTCAGCTCCCGCAGCTCCTTCTCGGCTATTCTAGCTCGAGCTGCAGCAGCCTGTCCGACACAGAGCAGTTGTTTAACACCAGGGTAAGGACATGAACATACTGTACACGGACAGGTGGGGTGAACTTACTGCCACGTCGTCTGCGACCTGTCGGTGGTCTCGCAGCTGCTGATTGAGCTCAGACAGATTTTGTTCATTTTCCTGGAGGGAAGCTCGCAGACGCTTGTTTTGCTGCTGAGCAGCAGACAGGGCGCTCTGTGCTCTGGACAGCTGCTTCTGCACCTCTGCTACCTCCTCCTGGATGAACACAGACAGAAAAAAAACACAATTCAGCATATAATTTGGTTTACATTAACCCTTTTCATTTTAGGTTTAAACGTTTTAAGAAAGGATTGATTGCCGTCCCATTTTTTCCCCAACTCTCACCTTCAGTATCTTCTCATCTGCCAGTGCTTTGGTCTGCAGGCTGGAATAATACTCCTCCACACCCCGCAGTGCTTGCTCATGCTTTTCCGTCAGCTCCAGGATGCGGCCGTTCATCCTGTCCTCAACCTCGATAACTTCTGCCCTTCGTCTTTTCCCCTCAGCCTCCACCATGAGCTGCATCTTATTGTGGTATTTTTGCTCGATTTCTGTCAACAAACAAATCCAAGACTATGATTGTACATATGTGTCGGAATAATCTGAATAATAATCTGCAATTTCCCAGTCTAGATCAATAAAGTACATCTATCTATCTATAGGAACATTGATCTAATTTTTTATTCACCTGCAAGTTTACGGTCATACTCATTGGTGAGCTCCAACAGCGCCACCTGGTGTTCCTGTGGACAGAGTCAGATTCATTTAAAAACTTTACTGAACACAAACAGTTGTTGATGTGGGTGTGTCCTCACCAGTTTCAGCTCCTTGATGTTGTTGGCTTCCTGGCTTCTCTTCTCTCTGACGTTGGCTTGCTGGGCCTGAATGAGTCGGCGCAGGTCCAGTTCAGCCTCGGATTTCTGGTTCTGGTCCAGTGTGGTGGCAGCTGCAGCATCATTCTTGATCTCAGAAATGACATCCTGCTGCTCAGACAAGACGTGCTTCAACTTCTGCTTGTAAACCTGGGGGTCAAAAGGTCACACTGACTCATCAGTCTGTATTACAACAGAACTTTAACCTGTTCAAATAGATGTGATAAGATTCTCTGCTGTACCAGTTTGCCTTATTACATAGAGCTTCAACTGACCTAAATGATTAGATATTATAAAGAACAATTTACATTGATCTCCACTCGGTGGCGCTCTTCAGCCTCCCCCCTCTCCCTGTCCTTGTGTCTCAGTGTGTCTCTTGCCCGCTCCACCTCCCTTCTGCTCATCTCCCAAAAGGCCTGCATCTTGTCACGCTCCAGCTGGAAGTAGCTTCTCTCCTCACGCTCACGTTCCAGCTCCTCCCGCAGACGTATGATGTGTTCCTCCAGCTGCAGGGCCAGAAAAAAACAAAAAAATGACACGGCATATTTCAACTTTTTAGACTACAATACGAAGAGGCTTAATGGCCACTAGTAAAATGGTTCATGTCCACTGTATAAACTTTACATAGTTTACATAAAATATATAAGAAAAATACATGTTGCTAAAAATGAAGCTTAAATTCTGACCGTTTGGGTAAATAAGAAAGAGTCTAGAAACATTCATGGAACACAAAAAAAATGACAAATTAAATATAGCAGGAAACCTTCTTAAATGTTATATTTAATATACAGCCACAATACATTATATATTTTAACGTTTCCTTCATGACAGAAATACTGGTGTAATTCTAATGTTGCTCTGTACACGCCCCCACCGCGTCATGTGACCATTTCTTTTTTTCTTTTTTTCCCCCCAGGCTAATGCTAACATTGTCGAACATTATCAGGTTCTGTTGCCTCCTACCTGGTCCTTGGACATGTCCTCAGCGGACACAGCGTCCACCACCGCCGACTTCTTTCCCTTGCCCGTCGCCTGTCTCCGACCCTTTGGCGCCTGAATTAACAACGGGAAAGAAACATTTTGCCTTTAACTACCAGTGATTCTTGACCACCTAAAGTTGCCAAACACTCTGAGATACATCAACTTTGTGCAGGCTAACAAGATAGCTTAAACCTCGCTGAATTAATATTAAAATATGATGGTAATAACATGATAAGTAAACTACTTTATAATCGTTACTTACCATGGTCAAACACCACAACCTGAAACAACAGGACTGATAGCTAAATGCTAGCTGTTTGATAGCTGCACAGAATCGGCTGTTATGGTAACGCCACCACGTGACCTTACGTGAAATTATTATAGACTTTTAAAGACGTCGCAATTGCCGCGTTTTGTGAGTAACGACATCGCCATTTTTCGTCTGGTCAAGAGTAAATTATCACAGGTATCATAACTATGACTATATGCAATGAAGTTGGTGGCGAAAGTCTGAATTGCTTTTGTGGCAGGTAATTTTCGGACTTCCAGTTAGCATCCAGTCCTACAGGCGGCGGTGTGATACTGTTAAACAGCAATTACAGCGCGCGTTTCCTGTCGCGTTTGAGAAGACAAGGTAAGGTTCACGTTTTGGTACGTCTTTTATATTTGTGCTTATTGTTTGCATTGTTAATGTATGTTTAAACATGAGCCACTGTTGTTAGCGACGCCGCTGATCTAACAAAGAAACATTTTTGATTTGGGCAGATTGTCGCCGCTAAGTTGATCCTTCCGATGAATGGAAAGGACGAGCAAGCTAACAAATGCTAACTTAAGTTTCAACTTAACAGTTAAACACCTACGATGTTATTGTGTTTAATTATTATTGTTGCTTTGATTAAACCGTGATAGTTGAAGCCATCCTTTGATTTGCCTAGGTCCTGAGTCTGATAAATATTTTAGAAATACTGTCAAAAGATATCCTCTTGGAAAATGTTCATTGTCGAAATCTGGAACGAATATATTTTCTTGAACAATACGTTTGTATTTGTTAGGATTTTCGTAAATGTGTTTAATTTATATGTTTCTGATCTACCAACCCATTTGCTCGCTCTACGTGAAAGATTGGCAAAAATATCCAAAATTGCATCACAAAAGGGAAAACGTCTTCAGTGATTACGTCGAATAAAATTGTTGTTTTTCCTGTGTTTTTAGTCATCGTCATGGATATCAGACCAAATCACACGGTCTACATCAACAACATCAATGACAAAGTTAAAAAAGAAGGTGAGCATTAAAATCGTGCAGTCGTGACCAGAGGTGAATGTGTTTTCTAGTCGTGAATATGAATCATTAGTGTATAAATTAACATTTAATTGTAGTCTGGCACCATTGTATCATTTTCTGTCATATATACTTCTCTGTAATACTACCATCATGTTACACTGGAATGTTCTCTAACTTGGATATTTAATTTTGTTAATTTATTAATAGTTAACTTTTCATAATTAAACTATGTTTTATAATTAGGTATTAATCTAAAGTCTGTCATGTTTTTATATATTTTTGTACATTACTGCCCCAAGTATTCTAATGGTTGATTAATTATTTTTACCCTTTTTGATTATTCTGCGACAGAGCTGAAGCGGTCACTCTACGCACTTTTCTCCCAGTTTGGACAGATTCTTGACATTGTGGCTATGAAGACAATAAAGATGCGAGGGCAAGCATTTGTCATCTTCAAAGAGCTTGCTGCTGCCACCAATGCCCTCCGACAGTTACAGGGCTTCCCCTTCTACAACAAACCCATGGTACGTCAGATGTACGCAGTTGCACATGTGAACAGATCTGGCGTGGTTACACCTGTTTTTTTCTGATTTCTAAAAACGTGCTGAAGCTGTTGGACATACTGAACTACATCCTGGGTCTAACATTCCTACACTTCCATCTCCTACTGGAGCTGTACTGTGGATGGGTGATAATGTTTGACCTTGTCTGGCTTTTCTTCACTTCTTTTACAGAGAATACAGTATGCTAAGACAGACTCTGACATCATCATGAAGGGCCGGGGCACCTACGGTGACAAAGAGAAGAAGAAGGATAAGAAGAAGAAAGCTCAAGAGCCAACAGCAGTTGTTGCCAAGAAACTACCTCCTGTGAGTCACATTTACTTCAGACTTTTACAGGGTTTTTTTTAGGTTTTTATCTTGTAGTGATAATCACACTGTCAGGTGCTTGAACATTTGAAAACAAAAAATCGAAATATTTTCTCTACAATTGTTGAAGTAGTTTGCATTTGAGTTGTTGGTGAACTGTTGTCAGCCATGTTTTTATGTTTGTCTTTAATGTTGTGTTCATTATTGAGTACCTATTAGTCTGTAATGACTCTGAACTCTAAATGTGTTTGTTTCTTTATCACCAGGGAACTGGAGGACCTCTGCTCACTCCTGCAGTACAGGTAAGAACACGGTCAACCAGAAAGACCTGCCTTTCTCTGAAGCTCCACCAGAACTTACTGTTTCAACCAGGCCAAATATTCCTTTGACCTACACTTTTCCTGGCCCACCTAATGTGAAACTAACTAGAACTTTTTGAACCTCTGTCAGCGTAGTCCTGGTTAACCCACTCTAGCTGTCCCGAACAGAACTTACCTGGTCCAGAATCACATGACCAGTTTGATGGTTTGAAAATTGTAAAAAAAAAAAGATTGAGATAGGAACTGTCTCTCCTTTTTTACCCAGGTTCCAGACAATCCTCCGAACCATATCCTGTTCTTAAGTAACCTGCCGGAGGAAACCAACGAGATGATGCTGTCCATGCTCTTCAACCAGTGAGTTCTCGCTGATTGAATGATCTAATTCAATGAATGGTCACGTTCATTTATATGTACAGTAAAATCAGTAGTATAGAAATTGCACAGAATCTGTTAGTTTTATATAATATATAATTTTATTAAAGCATGTTGTTTTCCAAACTCCAACTGAACATTCAGAAAATCATTTTTGTTGTGATTTTGATGAAGATGAACAAGAACTTCTTTCTTTTCTGCAGGTTTCCTGGTTTCAAAGAAGTTCGTCTGGTTCCAGGAAAACACGACATATCATTTGTGGAGTTTGAGAGCGACACACAGGCCGGCGTAGCCAAAGACGCACTACAGGGTTTTAGAATCACTGCCGTCTGCGCCATGAAAATCACGTACGCCAAGAAGTAGAGATGGAACAAATTCTTAGTTTTTAATTTTTTTTCTGTACATCAGCCTGTTTTCTTTCTTTTCTTTTCCTTTTTTTCTGTGTATTCAATTGTAGGTTTGTTGGATAAACCCATGGTCTGAAGCTTATTTTGTAAAATAACAAATAAACTGATTTTTAAATAATTTTTGTTTCTGTAATTTGGATGTGATTTCTATTCATGAATAGATAAATACATAAATAGATTTTTTCTGTGAAATTAAATTGGAACAACAAAATCACACATTTTTAAGCCATTCGTGATTTTTTTTTAAGTTGCTTCACAAAATGTGATTTATTGCATCAGAATTGTTTTTTGAAAGAAAAAATAGCTTTACAGTACAGTTCATTTAAAAAAGTATTTTGCTACCAGCATTCACCGTCTATTTTTTTAACACATATGTACAAAATATCACCAGCATTCACCATTTTTTTAACACATATGTACAAAATATATTTAAAAAAAAAAATAAGAGTTTGAAAAAGCACAGTGTGAGTGTGCTGAGAAAAACATGTAGTGGTCGTTCCTGTCTCATCTGTCCAGTTCAGCCTGCAGGATTTCACCCCAAGACTCCACATCCAGCGGCACCATTATCCTGTCCCTCAGCTCGTCTGCTGACCTCACGTGACTGTAACGTCCTCTCAGCCAGTCATTCTTCACGCAGCTGCGCGTATAGTTACGCACCAGGGTCACCTGAAGAGACAGTAGCCAAGTTAGAGCATGTAGAAAATAAGAATATAAAAAAGACTAAAAACAAGCCACGAGACAGGAAGTACCTTCCAGGACATGCCATCCCTTCTGTCTTTGTCCACTTCTCTTTGACAGACAGCTCTGACCAGCAGACACTGTTGTCTCCACAGCTGCTCACTGTCCTCAATGATGTCCCGCCACTGCCTGCAGGTCTGTGAGGCCTGACACAGACTGGGCATGTCCAGTTCACCAAAGATCTTCACGCTCATTTCTGTCGGCAGTGTTTCTACAAAGTTTAGAGAAGGAGCTTTCTCAAATGTGGACGGTTGTCCTTCACAGAGAAGGAACACAGGTGAATTTCCTGTGAAGTCATGCTGCATAATAACCGTTTTAGACCTGTGGAGGATATGGAGACGTGTCAGACATTCTCTCCTAAAGCAGGGATAGGAAAATTCCACAAACTTTTTTTTCCACAAATAAAAAAAATAAATAAACGAAAAAATATTATAAAATAAAAGTTGTAAATAATTATTTTAAATAATTTAATTTTTACCCATATTATTAATTCATTTGGATTTGTCACTAATAAAAACAAGTGTGAACACATACATTTACGTGGTATTTGTATTTCTGTTTCAGCAGTATGCAAATAAACTAAATTGTTCCTTTAATAATCATAATCAACATGTTAACACTGACAGCCCTAGTGTGTGTATATGTGTTTATTCACTACAGACAATGAACGTAGAAAATGCATACACGTCATATTTAACCGGGCACAGGCACCGCCCCTTCCGTGCAAGGACACGTGACTTGGGCTTTAAAAGAAAACAGCCCGGCTACCGTGACGAGATATCGTTTACTGCTGTTTTTTTTTAAATCTGATAATTTATTTCATTGAATCATTAACAAATATTGACGTGACTGGCGTAAACCGTAACCAACGGCTAACACTCATGGCTTCAATTCTTACCATTTTCGAAGATTCAAATGTTACATTATTCAGATCGAGCGTATTCTTTTCTTTAAAAAACAACAACAAACAAAACGTATTGCTAGTTCAGAAATTAGCTAGTTGAGATCATCCTGAGCAAACATCCCTTGTTTCTTACCGATGTTTGTAGCGGTTCCGTCTCGAAGCTGACATTTAAACGTCTGGACGCTGTTTATACTCAGAGAAACGTCAGTGGGCGTGCTAGAGCACGCAGGCGCCGTACGGTCCTCTCTTCCGCTTTAAATTTACTTGACTTTGTATTCAGTATTATAAGTACATGATTGTATGGCGGAACAGCGTACTTCTTTTTTTTTCATAATATTCTTCAACTACCCAAAGTTTTGATTATGGTCTCTTTACAGGCTTTAAAATGGATGTAAAGTTATATTAATATTTTATATTTTGTACAGAGATTCAAAATAAAATAGCATGGCAAAGCCTGATGAAGTTGACAGGTGGGATTTTAATATTATATAAAACACAAAATATATAAATTTTGAATAAACAGAATAAAATCGATTGGATTTGACCAATATTTGTCCTAAATGTGGCGCTGTGGAGACATGTCGATAACCACTTTTAAAATTTTATTTTCACTCACAGAGAGCATGTAAATTCCAGAAAACTTGAGTTAAATCGAATTAAGATTTAGTAGGACGGCAGGCTTATTCCCTTGGAAATCGTTGCACAGGATAAAAACATTATATTTTATTTCGAAGGACCGGAAGTAGCAAGTGCCAGAGTGCGTTAGCAACTTGTTGGAGAGGAACTTCCGTGAGCGAGTTGGTAAATATGGCTGTGCAGCGCTTTTCTTTTTAAATGTGCTGTTTGAACTGCGCTTAAAAACATGTGAAATAACAATTCGTAAAGTTGTTTGTCTTCTAACTGAGTCTGAATGGTTATTTAACTCTTTTTAGTTCCTGTTTGTTTATATCTGTTTGTCTGGTGTTGGTGTTGTGACGTTTCCTCTCCAGTCCCGCCTGTTTATCAGCATGTCCGATTTTGACCTGGTGCCAGTGGACGGTGGAGCCGCTGTTCACCTGCCGTCAGGGGAGACGGTGCTGGGCCGAGGCCCCCTGTTGGGAGTAAGTTAACACTGCAGTATAATAATCACGTAAATATTAATGTGTTAAAGCAGTTTACGCTTTAACACATTCGCACACAACAGAGCCCATAGATAAAGTAAGCCATGTACAGTCTACTGGCCGGCCAAAGCTACCTCACATGGTCGATTATTGTCACTTAAGTAACCTAAAACGAAGGATTTGAAACACAAAATAAGTGGTTGATGACGTTTAAGTCCCTTTTAAAATGCTAACCAGTAACAGGGTTAATATTTTTTAATCATGTCTCAGGTCAGTGATAAAAGAGTATCACGAACACATGCACTGGTGGAGAATCTGAATGGACGTCTGCGACTCAAATCGGTAACTATCTCATCTTTCTTTATTAAATAATAAAGGGCTGAGTAACTCTCATTCAGAGATAATAAACAATAAATGAATAAATACCAGTCATTATTTTATTTGTGAAACTTTTTTTTAAATTAAACAATATCAAAAGGTACACATTTTCAAATAGATTACCTACATTTTTCTAAAAGTTCTTTATATAATTTGCATTGTAATCCCCTGGATTAATAAAGTCAATTATAATATAACATTTTTTTTGAGTTTTCAGATCTTTTAATATGTTTTGGCTCCAACCTTTGGTATGATAATGGTTTTCATGGCTCTTCCTAATGAAATGGATTCTAAATGTAACCCATGTGTTTTTGAACTGATTCTCAGACCCACGTGAACCCGTGCTTCGTCCAGTCGTCCATCACTGATGAACCTCGACCTCTCACCAGGAACTCCTGGTGCCCCCTTCAGGATGGAGACTTGTTCTCCCTACTGCCCGGACACCTAATCTACAAGGTGGTGTCTGTGGGCGGAGTCACTGGCACTCGCAGGTACAGCCATCATGTTAGGATCAAAAAGCGTCTGAAGAGTCTCTCGAACAAATCATGGTGTCAGAGGAAGACGGAGTGGCTGCTCTTTAATTCAGGACTAACCTTTTATCTCTGTGAGGAGGCGGCAGCGTCTGTTGACTTAATTAAAAACCCACCTGAAGAGGATGTTGTTTTAATCTATTGCCTGTTTGAAATTTAAATTCGAAAGACGAAAAAAAAGAACTTGAAAGTTTTCAGGCCGTCTGTTCTTTTTCACTGAAGATCTGAAAAGATCTGCTAACCTTTTATATATTTATGCTGTTTTGGTAATCATCGCTGTTGTTTTAGCAATTTGATCATATTGACAGTTTGATGTCACTTTTAGACTGACATTTTTAACAGAAGAGTAAAGGATGAAAACAGCAGTGGACGAACAGCTGCCATTCTGGTTTTTCAAATGTCATCTCATGTAGAACGGGTCGGACTTATGAAGAAGACAAAGAGGAGGAAAAGGAGGAAGAATTTCCCAGATCTAAGACTGTATTAGATGTGGACTTAATTCATCCAATACCAAAGAAGAATGGACAGACTCAGCCTCAGGTGGAGGAAGAAGAAGAAGAAGAAGAAGAGGAGGAGGAGGAAGTTCCTCAACGGCCCTTAAAGAAGAAGGTTTGTTAACTTGTAATAATGTCTTTTTTGTAGCATGGCTGTCGCCATCTGTCATTTTATTGGTGAGCTAAAAAGACTTTCAAGGTGAAGCCTTAGTTTAGGCCAGTATTTTATATTGTGTCTATCATATTGGTTTTTGGTTTAACTTTAAATATCTTTTGGGTCATTGTAAATGTTAATTGATGGATTAATTGAGTTGTTTGTTGGATTCATTGGTGGGTTGAATGTCTTGTTTATTTTTTATTTTTTTCTCTAGGAAGAAGCTGCCCTCAAAGAGAAAGTTGATGACGCTGTAGTCACTGTTCCTAACGTAATGAGGAGGAGAGTCCTACCTGCATGGATGATGGCGATCGCACCGACACAGACCTCGGCTTTACCACACAAAGGTATCATTCCTACATGTGTGGGTCACATGCCTATGTTTTACCTGTTTGTTACAAGCCTTTAGTTCAGGGGTGTCTAACTTACTTTGGTTCAGGGGCCACATACGGCCCCCTGGGCCGGACCAGTACAATCATTACATTATTACCTATGAATAAGTCCATGTTTTTCCCATTAGCTTGCATGCAAAGAAGTTGAAGTGTATTAAAAAATATTCATATTTAATGGAATTTAATTTTACAAAACATCAATAACATGGGGTGGTTGTGCGTTTTTCTTACTTTCAAAATTCATCAAGCGGGCTGGATTGAACTGCCTAGTGGGCGAGCTTTGGCCCACGGGCCTTATGTTTGACACCCCTGCTTTGGTTGGTTTAAGACAATGGAAAATGTAAAAACATTAATGTTCTCTGTTGTAGTTGAGCCAGTCAAGAAACGAAAAGTCTCAGAAAAGAGTCCAATCCCTGCCACCGTCTCGCCGGAGAAGGTGGAGTTTAGTGAGGAGGAGGTGGAAGAGGAGGAACGGCCAAGGAAAAAGAGAAGGAATGTGAGTCATTTAAGTTATAGTTTCAGATGAAATCTACAGGACTGGGAAAACAAATCAAAAACATTTGTTGTTTGTTTTTTTCTCCTAAGGATGAGAAAGTAGTGTTGACACCTCCCCCCGCTCCAGTTGTTGCTGCTGCAACAGTGACACAAGTGGGCGAAGTCAGTGAGTCTGATGATGATGAGGAGGAGGAGAACAGGAAGTGGGTAGGTGAAGGACAGGTGAATGAAGAAGAAGACTCTGTTGGGTTGAGCGCCGCCTCTACTCCAAAAAAACCAAAACCGAGGACACCGTGTCCGTATGGGAAGGACTGCTACAGGTGCACGAGACACGAGACACTACTATGATTCATATTCATACAGAAAATATATTTTTAGGATTTTGATATATTTTAACAACAGGTGACATATTGTTCCTTTATTCCCTCAGGAAGAACCCGGTCCATTTTCAGGAGTGCAGTCACCCCGGGGACACTGACCATGAGGAGGAGGACGAGGAGGAGGAGGAGGAGGCAGAGCTTCCTGAATGTCCGTACGGCACCGACTGCTACAGGTGCAACAAACAACTTCTTTAACTAAGCTAACTAGTGTTTGCCCGACTTTGAAGATTATACCAACCAAACCAGTTGTGCTTTTCTGGTTCTGCTTTTTTTGTCTTCTAGGAAAAATCCTCTTCACAGGAAAGAATACAAACACTCAAAGAGACCGGGTGAGTTTAACCACTTGAAGTTTTCTGTCTTCTCTGAGTTTGACCATATTACATGATTCAGTTTTTCATCCATTCAACGATCGCACTCTAAATGTCCAAACAGCTCGTGCTGCACGAAACGCCGCCCAGAAGAAGCTCAGCCGGGACGAGGACGAAGATGAGTACGACGACAGTTTCATCGATGACGACAGCGAGGACCTGACTGGAGAGGACTCGGATTATGTCCCTGTGGACTCAGATGACAGCGGCAAAGAAGACATTAAAAGACTGCAGAAGGAGGCCAAGGTTTTTTTGAAGAGGAAAAAGTAGAAACTCCATGTTTTTTTGTAGTTTGATCTGAAAAGCAGCTGATGAACATAAACATTTGGATATAAGAAAATCTGTTGGATTCGTCACTACACCTCTCCCAAATATTAGGTGAGAATATTTTTTTAAAAGACTTTTTTATAAAGTAATTTTAAAAAAGCATGGTCTAATTACTAATGACAGGAAACTGGTAATCTTCCTTTAGTTTGTAAAGAAACACCAGCTTCTCATTGTCCTCTATGATCCTCTGTCCACACACTTGTTTTTGAAGAACTTTTCATTGCTTCTGTGCAGCTTCACATCTGTATGTATGTTTGAGTTTGTCCTTGTTTTGTTCTTTGTGAGGAAAGAAATGACCATTTAGAAAATGAACATATATTTTTATTATTACAAATGATACATTTCTTTAAATGATAAACCTGTCGTGCCTACAGTCGACGTCATTTCAACAATCGAGCAGAAATAGGAAACCTAAATATTAACTCAATAATCATGACTTTTCACTTCACTAGTTCACATGTTTTTGAAGTTGTTGCTAACTAATTCTAGGTACTAGTCAATAATAAAGCGTTGTGATCTGTTTGACTGCTGCGTCTGCACACGCTCAGTTCTCCAGTCTCTGTGTTGCTGCCGTAGGTCTTCAGTCGCTCTACCTCAGCCGAACTCCATCCACCTCCTCCGTCACTCGGAGGGACGACGTCCGTGCCTCGCCTTCTTCTGTGTACTTGGTGGCCACGAACGTCACCAACCTCCGTGGGAAGTTGCCTTTTCTTTTCAGGCGCTTGGCGTTGTTCCTCACACTGACGAAGCAGAGCGTGTTGATGACTCCGTTGCTCATGGCGATGCATTCAATGATGTAGAAGGCGACGAGGGAGTTCCTGTCCCTGGAGATGAGTGTAGGGAAAAAGTCCCGCAGGACAGCAAAGCCATAATACGGAGTCCAACACAAGACGTAAGCAACAAGAACCAGAATCAGTAGCACTACGGTCCTGCGGCGCCTCTGGAGCCTCTTCTGGATCTGCTCCGTCTTGAAGCCTGGAACATCTTTGAACCACAGCTCCCTGGAGATCTGGATGTAGCAGACGGCCATGGCCGTCACCGGGCCCACAAACTCCAGGGCGATGATGAGGAGTAGGTACGAGCGATAGTAGACTTGCTGGTCCACGGGCCAGATCTGAGCACAGAAGGTTTTATGGGTGTGACCCTGGACGTGTGGGTACTGTGTCTCAGAGGCCATGTAGGCAGAGGGAATAGAGATAAAGGCGGGGACAATCCACACAGTCAAGATGACGCAGCAGGCGGTCTGGTACTTCATCCGAGGTCTCAGTGGGTGGAGGATGGCCATGTATCTGCAGACAGAACCCTTCAATGGAGACTCAAAATCTCACATACAAAGATGTGGACGTGTGTTGAGAGAACTCACCTGTCTACGGCGATGGCCAGCAGTGCATTGGTGGACACGTAGAGGGAGACGGTGCGCAGATAGTTGGTGGAGGCACAGAGCAGGAGGCCGTGGTCCCAGGACAGCTGCTTGACCACGTAGTAATCCAGCAGAAACGGGCAGCACACGGCCGCCACCAGCACGTCTGACACGGCCAGGTTGGCGATCAGCAGGTTGGTCAGGTTTCTCAGCTGCTTGTAGCGAGCGAGGCTGGCAATGAAGAGGCAGTTCCCCACGCCGCAGACCAGCATGATGACCACCAGGACCACTGCGATCACCAAGGTGGCCGCGAAGAAGGCCGTGCTCTGGGTGGTGTCTGGGATCTGGTCAGCTGGAACCTCGTAGTCCAGGAAGTAGTCTGTCAGAGACAAACTGCTGTTGGTCTGGTCCTCCATTCTGGGTCAAGTGAGCATGGTCAGTTCCAGCGTCACCTCCAGAGTCTGCTGATTAGCAGTGGACACACAGTGAAACAGTGAACAGGATGTGGACTGTTTTTCCTGACCATCAGATCGGGGGCTGTAGCACTATAGTAACTGACTGTTGTATGTACAATCACAGCACATACGTGCAGTCATTTGTCATCCTCAAACACAGTAAAACACACATTTGCGGCGTGTTTGATGACATCACAGCTATTGGTTGAAGTCTCCCTGTTAATGGACTTTCCCGCCATCGCTCTTCATGTGTCAGAATCGTCGGCAGTGCGAGGAATGTGGCGTCTCTGTGCTGAGGCCAAATACTCAACGTCATTTCAAATGTAAACAGAACGCTAACGACTCATTACAGCTCTCCATACCACACACTACCGTCCTGATGACATCACTGTGATGTAACAGACTGATGTAAATCCAGAACATCCTTCACTAAGAAGTGCAAATGTTTTACTTCAAAATGAACCATTTTATTTAAATGTTATTTTATATTTTATAAGCCTTTCTTATATCCACCGCTCAACCACGATCCCCAAAAACTGAAAGTGCTATAAATGATCATCTTCAAGAAATTATCTAGAGGTAATATTTTTGTTTTACAGTAGCTCACTTTTCTTTACTGAACAACAGGTGTAATATCACAGTGTAATATCACAGTGTAATATCACAGTGTAATATCACTGTGTAATAGGTCGAACACTGTTGTAAATTATTCTTATTTTCACGGTTCATAATTATTTCATATATAGACGCTATTATTATTTATTTATTCCTGTTTACATTTGTCACGCCCGTACGTTTATATTTATATTTACCATTAGTTTATATTTGTAATTACTCATGACCTACAGGTTGTGTACTTTGTACTGTGTACTCCGGTTGCCATGCAACGACATTTTGTTGCCAGACTCACTGTTTTTTGTGTTTCTGTGCAATGACAATATAGAAAGTCTAAGTCTAACACAACTCGTGGACCCGAGTCTTTAAACTCTAGTAGCACCCCCTACCGTTAAGAGGAGGTGAGAGGACTAATATTCACAAAGATAAAATACCAACTGTACATGAGTCAGAACTCAAACTGAGAGACTTAACACGGTGTAAATGTTTTTAAGAAAAAAAAGTTGGACTGTGAAACATGAGAATATAATTATAATTAATATAAATATATTCTATTTAAAATACATAAAATCATTACTACACATGTTTACATTTATATTGTTATTTGTATTAATATAATTTGTATTGTTGTTATTATTATTATTTTGTTGTTGTTATTATTATTATTAATACCCCAATTAATTCTTTTTTTTACCAAAAAATACCAGAAAGTTAAAAGAGTAGAAAAACAATAATAATCAAGAAACTGTAAAATGTGACACTAACCTGTAGAAGCCGCTTTTTCTTTCTCTGAGCTCAGATTCACTGGCACTGACCGAGAGAGTTGGAGAGAGAAACAGGGAGAGAGAGACAAGAGAGAGAGAGGGACAGGGAGAGAGGGAGGTTTTGGCCAATGTTTAGACAATTTTAATCAATTGTAGTTATTACTAATATTGTTATTGCAGTTTTGCTTCTAACCTAGTACTAATCTGTATTTATTCTTAAAAGGAATAAATATAAAGATTTCATCAGTAAAAAATTATGTGATCGCTGACGCTTGTGTAAAAGTAAAAGAAATCTAGTTAATATGTACTTTTATAGTTTTTTACCATGTTTTCACATCCTGAAGGCTAAAAAAATACGATTTAAATTTATTTCTGCAGGTATGGTGTTTGGCATCTTTTGGCTTTTACTTTGAAAGAAATAAGAGGAAACGCGGTAGTTTGTGGCGGCTTGACGCAGCCCTGCATCCACCGCAGCAGCATCCTTCTCCTCCTCCTGCTCCTGCTCCTGCACCTCCAACTGCAGCACAGAAACTGAGCCTCCAGATCCTCCAGGATGGATGACGTCCCCCCACTGCTGACCATCTGCGTGTCTCTGCGGATCCAGCCCAACGAGGGCCCGGTCTTCTTCAAGGTGGACGGAAGCCGCTTCGGTCAGACTCGAACCATCAAGCTGCTGACTGGATCCAAATACAAGATGGAGGTGCAGGTGAAACCCGGAACCGTCAATGCTACGTAAGACCTCCGCTTTGAACATAAATATATATATGTTTATGTTTTTAATACATTGTTTTTAAAAATGACCAGGAGCTTCGGAAGACAAGGGGTTAATGCAATTAAAAATTAATAAAGAGAATAATAAAGACAGCAGGATGTGCTGCTGCGCCGCCCGCAGGTTGCACCAGCCAACACATCCAGAGGTTCAGTCCATCGTCTGTTTTCTAGGCTGATGCTACAGCTGACAGAGGCGTGGCTTATCTTATGCTGTGGGATGTAAGGATTTACTAGATGAGACTAGATGAGTTTTTGATGAAACATATTTTTGTCCATTTGCTTTCGATGTAACTATTATTTGGAATATTTTCAACACATATTCTCACAAACCAAAGTGTTTTTATTTCAATTTTTGATATTTTCAACACATATTCCTACGAACCAAAGTGTTTTTATTTCAATTTTTGTTGTTGTTGTTGCTGTTTTTATCTCATTCTGTCTCACCTTTCTGCAGTGAAGAGATTTTTTGGTAGTCTGCAGGAACAGATGATGTCTGTTCCTGCACATATTTTAAACCATATGTTATTGTACAAACAAGACAAAAAACAACAAAGATTTTTGATTATGAAAATGTAAAAAAAAAGAATGTAAAATTGTTTCTCCATCTCTTATAGATGTTTGATTATGAATGTAAAATTGTTTCTCCATCTCTTACACTCAATCTTGCCCGTTTCTGCATCTCTGTATTTTCAACCCTGTAGTCAGATGAACATCGGGGGCGTGGTCTTCCCTCTGCAACAGCAGTCTAAAGACGAGGACTGTGTGCTGTACCACGGCCTGTACGACACTGAGGGCGTTCCTCACACCAAGAGCGGAGACCGACAGCCCGTCCAAGTTAGCATTGAGGTAATGAACTTCAACAGCTACAACATACAATTAATTTATACCCAAGTTAATGATCAAAAAATAGATTAAAAGGACAACCAAAGTCTTCCTCTCTCTCTCTCTCACTCTCTATCTTTTTAACCCTTTCTCTCTCTGTTTCTTTGTCCAGTTCGAGAAGGCCGGGACATTTGAAACCGTCTGGCAGGCCAAATATTACAACTACTACAAGAGGGAGCACTGTCAGTTCGGCAACAAGTTCAACAGCATCGAGTACGAGTGCAAACCTAACGAGACGCGAACGCTGATGTGGATCAACAAGGAGTCGTTCAACTGAGCCACAGTCGCCCCCAAAACTGCTGCCACTGCCGCCTAACAAACACACACCAGGAGCATCAATGCAGATAAACTTCAGACCTATGATAGAAATAGGGTTTGCTTTTCTGCTCTTTTAATCTGCGTTTCCTGAAGACTGGGGCAGGAGTTACAGGTGGATTGCAGCAGGAGAGTGTGTTTTATACTTACGCAGCTAGTGTTCACAGGCCAGGTGGGACCTGAAACGTTGTAAATAATTTACTGCAGGGTCTAAGATATTTTAAACTGCAAAAACATCAGCTGTTCAACACATGACAAATATATAATGTGAAGGTGTAGCCTCACTGTTTCAAAGCGTGAAATATTTAACCTGGTTTTTCATTCATTTGATTTTCTGGCCCACAGCACAGTTATTTATTACCCTCCCCTCCACCCTCTCCTCCCCCAGAAAAAAAATGTGAGCAAACCTGCTGAAGAGTTTTGTGTAAGTGTTTGTAATATATGTAGTACATTAAGTTATGTTATTCTTCACAGTTACAATATACCAAAATGACAATCCAGCCTGTCACTGTCTCCTCAGAGTCAATGCAAATTGTTGCAATTTGTTTTGTTTGTTTGTAAATTGAATTGATCTGGTTAAAGATTGAATTAGTGTTGGTGCAGCACAGAAAAGGACATACATGTTTTTTTTTTTTACTTCAGTATAGGCTGAATCATAATATAACTTAATTATACTTCAGTACAGGCTGAATCATAATATAACTTAATTATGGTCTTAAATGTGAATAATGAAGAGTCTTGCTTTGAGGAATTGTTTTTACCTCAAAGATCAAGGATTAAGAAGCTGTGTTTAGTGAGTGATTGGTGTAGCTTGAAGAATAGATCATTTGTTGTGGTTGGCTCTGATATATTTTAAGAAAGGGGAATTCTTCTTTAAAGAACTACTGCTTTCAAGGGACATTTAAAGGAAACACAAATAGGATGCACTCAGGAAACCTGAATGAGGATAGGTGAAAAGCTACAGTCTCCCTCTGAACTCCCTTCCTGTGGTCATACAACCATGGTTTGGTTTTTCTTCCTGCTCACTTTTGAATTTTGAATCCTTTGCAACAAGACATACATCACCAGCGACCTGGCTTCCTCTAGATCAGTATTATAGTAGCTGTCATTCACAAATGTCATTATGATTTGTCAGCTGTCAAATCACAGACCTAATATATAAAAAAATAACATTCTAGGGAAAATCCTCTAACCTTTGGTGCAATCCTGCTAACAATTTATGAAATTCAGGATATTATACAACCAAACATTTGTTTCTAACTATTAGTTCCCTACTGAAGAGGAATCAGCTGTTTATCCAGAGCTGGAGTCAGATGTCAGTTTATTTATGTTGCTGTGCTTCCTGGCGATTCCATGTTCAGGTTGTACTTCTAATGGTACCCAGTAGTTACTCTGTACAATTCCAACAGTTTCATTGTTTGAATGCCTAGGCTATGCAAACAATTATCTACAATACCTGACGGCAGATTTTAAATTACTTTTATCTCCAATGTGAAAATCTTCTGAAGACCCACTTGGTTTAATGAGCAAAAGCCAAAAAGTAAAAGTAAGTTGTTTTACGAAATGTATTGTATGTGTGGATATGTCTGTAAAGTTAGTAAATTATTGCTGTAACTTGCCTTCCTGGTGAATAAATAAATTGATAAATTATTTTATGTTACATTATTATTTGGCAAAGATGTCAGCACTGGTGAAATTCCTGATATTTAGTTCCAAATGTATTTATTTTTCTAGCGAAAAGTGCAAGGCTCGCGTATGCGCATGTGGGACAGACTACTGCGCATTGGCTGCCCAGCGTCACTGCTCTTGAACACAACTTCGAAAGGGATTCTGGGAAAGACAAGATGGCGGGACAGTCAAACGGCGCGCGGACGGTCCAAAGATATGACAAAATAACGCGTCGGCGATAATAGGAAAAATGAACCGAGGACGAGGACCCGTGCGGTCTGACTCCAGTGTTGCAATATCACCGAGCGAACTCAGACCGAACCGCTTGAGGAGGAAGAGCAGACTTAGCCAGGTTGAGGCGCCAGAGTTGGGTTTGTCCCAGAATCAGCAGCGAACAGCAGGTCTGTCCCATGTCAGTGTAAACAAGTGTAAACAACTACGAAAACTTGATCTAATTTGTGAATATTTAGTCAATATTACAAAAAGATTCCCTGTGTGGGAGTAATACAGTTCTATCTAATCTAGTTTTTTATTTTTTCAAGCAACATGTAAGTGTTAATTGTTTACTACAACTGTCAGTCTAGGAAAAAGTAAACGTTTTGTGACGTTTCTTTTACGTGGTGTGTAGAAGCCATTTGTTATCGTATACTTGATAAAAACACTAATATTTTAGTTTGTTTCTCGACGTTTTAAAGTGTAGCTATTTACTGTGTACTGTACTTTACTGGTTTACTATACTGTGTTGTTGTTGTCGTCATCCCATTAGCTTTATACATACATAACTTAGATAACTGACCAATAACTTATGCACACCAGGTTATGGCAATATACAGTTACAATGCTGAGCAAATTAAAAGTTTCGAATGTACCAGCTTGGTAATCAATATTTCTGTTTTTCCTCTGGAAGACTTTAAGACACCGACCAGGATTTTGGGTTCCAAGGCATCTGCTGATTTGACAGGAGAATCTCCGCACAGCGACTCAGACTTTCACCACGACATCATCTGGGACGCTGCGTCTCCTTCGCCCAACAGACTCGGTGAATTTTGCACATTTGTTAAAAAAAACGAATGATAACAGTGTTCACCATCATGATGAGGTAGAAACTAAAACATTAAGCAGTTGTTTTCATTCAAATAATGACTATTTCTTTAAATGTAGAAGTATTTCCATTTAAGGCTTTATATTCTTTGCGTCTGATCACTACTCCTCTTTAAGACTTGCATTATATGGTAAAGATATTTTTTTCTGACATCATTAATAACTCAAATAGCCCAAACTAAAGGTAAATTCAGTGGTATGCTTCCCCCTGCTCTTTTAAAAAATAAAAATTGTAGTTTAGTAATCTGCTAAAATCCAATATTGCTTTCTAATATTTATGTCACTAATTGTGTATTTGCAGGAAGAAAAGGAAGGAAACAAGCAACTGCCGCTGTGAACATTTCAGAAATTGTTAGCAGGATTGCACCAAAGGTTAGAGGGAAATAAACAGCCACATGAATAAAAATGGTTGATAGTCTTTGTTAATTTTTTTCATTTGTTCATTATTTCATCTACTTGTGTTGTTTGTCCCCCTGAAGCATGGCCGACCAGAGGTTACAGAGTCGACATTACAACAATGGCTTGGAGACAGCTTTGCCATTCCATGCACACCGGATGTTCAGACTCCCAAACCCAGGAAGAAATCCCCCAGGTGGGTTCAGAGTAAACACAACCACGGCAGAATCTGCTGAGAATGTTTTCCTGCACCCAGTTTTTATGATAGGTTTTGCTCAGTTTTACAACTGAATGAGTTTTTTCATGTTTTTTGTTTCGACTCTTCTTTGGGTTGACCAGAGTGGATGACCTGCTGAAACTTGCCAAACAGTTTGACTTCAACATGTTCTGTCGGGATGAGGAGGGAGCTGACATACATCATCAAAAAAGTTTGGAGCTTGTGTCAGAGGACATCATGAATTTTGAGATGACAACCGTTTTGCCAGTAACGTCAATAAATTCAAGGTCTCAAGATGATGCACGCAACGTTATCGTGAACGAACCTGCAGATGAGGACATAGATTTTCTGTTTGATGGACCAACACAACGTCTTAGTGGAAACTTGACACCTGTGCCACTTTCTCAGGATCCTCTGGTGAAACCTGATTCAGGTTTATGTGGGAAAACTCCCTCTGCAGGCATTAGCAGTAATGGCAGTGTGGCCAATGACAAGTTTGAGGACGACTGGGAAAATGATGACCTGCTTGATGACTCTCTGGTGTTTGAGATGACTCAGAATCCACAGAAGTTTATTTCTCCTAAGTACTGCTCAACACAAAAACCTCCTGGTGGCGATACAGCTCACAGTAAACTGGCTCTTTCTACAGTAAAAAAGACAAATGTGCAAAGAAGAACAAGCTTCAAACTTGAGTCAAATCATCATACCAGAGAAGGAACATTTCAAACAGACAGCCATTTGAAAATGCTGAAGAAAGACAGTCTGTTGAGTCAGTTTTCAAGCGATGTAAATGTCCAAGTCAGCAAGACATCTAGATCTAATTCACAAACACCACATTTACCTGCATCAAATGTTTTAGATTCCAAATCAGGCACAAACTCAGCACTTATGACAACCAATCCCAGCCTTCAGAAAGCATGTGACACAGGTTCTGCTCAGTTAGCAACAACAGGTTTATCTGACTTCCTGGATGATGATTTGGATGCCATCTTTGCATCAGACCTAGCATGGGACGATCCAACTGATGACAACCTGCTATGTGAAATGAGCGAGGACGTGGAGAACAACATCCAGAGGTCAGAAAATGGGACAGCCAAACAAAGCTTGCCAAACAAGCGAGCACCTCTGCAGCCTGCCAATTATCAATCTTTGCCTAGCAAGGTGACCCCCAAAGGTCCCTCTGTGTCAAGTAGACCAGCACCCACGGTACTCACTGGTACCTCTGTCTACAAGACAACTGCCAATGCAGGTGTAACGGATTCTTTTAGAAACACACAAACAAAAACTTTATTAGGAACAACACATCTGCAAAAAGGCAGCAGCTTTCTGATGTCACCTCCTGCAGTGCTGACAACCTTATCATCTCAGAATCCTCACAGAAAACATTTCAACTTTAAGAAGCCAAACATCCCAACAGACAAAGGTAAATGTTCAAGTAAACACTCATGACCAAATCTGTGCTGTAACAATGTGCAAAAGCAGCTACTATGTTTCTGCTACCAGTGATGCCAATAGCTTGTCCACTGAAGGACACTGGACATCCTAGGCTTGAGGGTTCCCACCTTAGCCTTTCTTATTAATAAATGTTCAGTTAACTGTTTGCTTTTTAGAAGAAATGTTTTTGGCAAGGTGAGAAAACATAAACATAAGTTTTGTAAAGATTCTACTTTTATCCAAGTGTTAATATCGGGATAGAAAACAGCGATGCAGAGTGGGTGGAGTCTAACGTTTTGTAAAGACAGCGATGCAGAGTGGGTGGAGTCTAATATTTGTGTTGTTTTTTATTGCAGTGGCAAGAAAATGTACAGCAGCTGAGATTGAGCTGAAGAAACGGCAGGCCATGGAGAGAAGGCAACAGAAACTTCAGACCCAGGCCCACAACTTCTGAGCTGTCAAATGCACAGGCTTCATTTGCACTACAGGCCTCTAAAATTGTCCACAAATTAGTTTTGACAATTACATTGTAAAGTTGAAATGAACAACTGAAATGAAGTTCTTTTCTTCTATTTTACCTTTAAAATCAACATTTTAATTATTAAACAAACTAATCTGTTTAATTAGCTATTTTGTCTTTTTTTAATAAAACTTGAACAAAGCCAATATTAAAAGAACATGATGATTAAAGCCTATATCACAAACAGAATTATCATTTGCAAACAGTGGTACGGACTAACAAAGTGGAAAACAAAAGAAAAAGTTGAAGGAGGAACATTCAAGCACCACAGTGACGAGTTCAGCAGAAAAGGGACAAATATGAAAATAAACATTTAACTCAAAGTAGTAGATAATGATTGTGAGATTGTGTCTGTTTATGCTGCTCATTGCATTGTTTTTGATAGAGCTTAAAAGAACAATAATCTTACAAATGATGTTGAATGTTTAAAATTTATCGAACTATGGGACTCGTAACAACATTGTCTTTCATTAATTTGTACTTTTTATTCCAATAACACCTGAAATAAACATACGTTTTTAGTTTTGTCTGAGACATTAAAACGAGTGTTGTACTGGGGTGTGCCGCAGTGGGGTGGTATTTGGACAATTATCTTTGTTATTTCCGGTGAAGAAGAAAAGGCAGCTGGGGCGCAGCTAAAGCTAACGTGATGTCTACAGCCTCTAAGGTTGTCCTCGGTGTCTCTGTGGTTCTGTCTATAGGCGCCGTGGGAACCGTTCATCTTAAACAGAACTGGGACAGACAGGTAACCGAACACAGGCGACCCAAGCCAAGCAGCACCGGGCTAATGGCTGAGCGTAACACAAGTCCGTAGATGTCCGAAGGTTAAATGTAATGAACTCGATTAGTAAAGCTACTGCTTTGTGTTTTTCCATCCTACCGTAGTCCATCTATAATTTTTTTTCAAACAATAAATGTTTGTTTTTTTAGTCAGGCGAAACGCTTGGTCAACTTCATCCGGGTTAATCCATCGAACGTGGCCACCGGCTATACGTAATTAAAGTCTGCGTTTATAGTGGAAAATTCAAATTTTCATTAAAAATTGTTATTTAAAACTGATTATACCAGCATAAACAAGAATTGAAGTGTAGTATCCAGGGATTTACTAGAAACAAAACAACAATTCAGATCATCTCAAAAGTATAACATATCTTTGTGTTGTACAAGAAACAGGAGCGACACGTTTTTGTTTTTGTTTTCTCATTTGTGTGTTGTATATTAGTATTGCATGCAAGATACATTTTCGTATGCATAATGCATACAACTTATAACTATGTCACACACTTAATATCAAGATCACAATGTTGGAAACCACAGTATCCTGTTGGAAAAATAAGATTTTTAATAAGAGTAAGATTTTTAATAAGAGTTATTTATATAACACATTTAAAATAGCCAGAGGCCTGCCAAAGTGCTTTATACTGAAAAAGCAGAAACAATAAAAGTAATAATAATAATTCAGCCTGCATGTCCACTGATGACAGTACTGAGTACGACCACAGCTGCGTAACCCTGACCTTTCTCTCTTTCTTGTGACTCGTCTCTGTTTTTTCAGCGTCTCCGCGACGGTGTGCTAAGGGATCTAGAGCGGTTAGAAAGAAAGAAAGAGAACTTGCAAAAGCTGAAAGAACAGCAGGTTCTGACCAGACAGCTGGAAGAAGAGCGGGAACGCAGGAAGTCCGAGCTCTGACCTGTGATGGTGTGTCACTGTCCTTAAGGCTCAGAGATGGACAGCAGCAGCGAGCCACTGGTTGGAGGTGAAGATGAGGCAGCCTGTACGTCTGCCTCTGATGGTCTGGAGGAGGGTGAGGTGGAAGGAGAGACACTACTGATTGTGGAGTCTGAGGATCAAGGATCTGTGGATCTGTCACATGACCAGAGTGGAGATTCACTTACCAGTGATGTTGGTGATGAAGCTGATGGTGGCTGGGCCTGCGAAGATATGGCCTTCTACTGTGAACGCTGCCATAAGTGGACACCTGCTGGTAAGACATCCAATAAAAAGTCCCAATGACGTTAGTAATAAAAACTGAAATGCAAAAACACTGTTTTTATGGAAATAAACTTGGCCATGTTGACACTGAGTGTGTCTGTTCAGCTCAGCTACGCGGTGAACAGCCCAGTTATCTGAAAGGAGACAACTTCTTTAAATTCATCTGCACGGACTGTTCAGAGGATGGAAAGGAAAGTTTTGAAAGGATGAGACTCACCTGGCAACAGGTAAACACAACCACACACACTTTGACACACCAAGAACAACAGATAAATGTCACACAACAGAAGAGAACAGGGTCATTAGACTAATTAATGAAAGTATTAAAAAAGAAGAAGCTGATTGGCTGTATCACTAACGAGAACAGGAATGTATGGCTGTTATTGTTATTGTTGCAGGTGGTGATGTTGGCCATGTATAACTTGTCTCTAGAAGGGACAGGTCGTCAGGGTTACTTCAGGTGGAAGGAGGACATCTGTGCTTTCATTGGTCGACACTGGAATTTCTTGCTTGGGACCAGGCTAGTTTTTTTCCACTTTCTTGTATCTTGTTTTGATAAAAATAATGTTGGATTACAATAGACTAAATCTCTGTTAATGACAGTAATCAAACTCCTTCAATCAATAACACAGAAAGAAGACGTCCACCTGGTGGAGCACAGTCGCAGGCTGCCTGTCTGTTGGAAGTCCGGCTTTTTTCCGATCCGGAGCACAGGAATTTGGAGAGCCTGGTTGGTGGAAACTGGTCCAGAACAGGCCTCCGACTCTTAGACCCGAGGTGGACAAATCTGCAGCCAAAACAAAACGTAATCTTCTTTTTAGTATTTTTAATTGTATTTTTAAGTATTGCACTAACTTTTGTGTTGGGTGTGACAATTTTGCAAATAAATAAAAACTTGACATACTTTTTTTGACCTGCAGCCACCAAACCTGTTCTGGATCCGATCATCACTGTGGAGGGACTGAGAAAACGTGGTGCCCGAAACCCAGTGGAGAGTGCAATGCAGCTAAAAGAGAAGCGTTCCCGCACTCAGGAGGCCAAGGACATACGGAGGGCTCAGAAGGAGGCGGTGGGAGGCTATGCAGACCGAAGCTCTTCCTCCACACCTGTCAAAATGGGCGGAGCACGTAGCAGTAGTGCAGGACGCAGGCCAGAGCTGGTCCTGGAGAAGGGCGAGGTCATAGACTTTTCTTCCCTAAGTTCGTCAGACAGGACACCACTGACCAGCCCCTCACCATCACCTTCACCGGACTTCTCTGCCCCGGGGACACCGGCCTCTCACTCAGCTACACCAAGCCTGCTGTCGGAGGCGGACCTCATCCCAGACGCCATGCCCCCACAGGCTCTGTTCCATGGTGAGTGAACACTTGGTCCACGATTATAATATATCGTTGTCGTAACTGTAGCTTTGGAAGCAAAATAGTCATATTGTATTGTCTTTGCTGCAGATGATGAGGAGTTAGAAACAGAGGGAATGATCGACCCGGGGATGGAGTACATCCCACCGCCCAGCACGAGCCTTGTTGCCAGAAAAAAGCTCCGCCCACCTCCACCCCACATCAAACGAGAAGCCGAAAGCGAAGATGATGATGGTCACGAGCGAGAGGAGGACTTTGAGGAGGCAGTGGGACGAAATGAAGGTGCGTCCATTGCTGCAGGAGCTTGTGTTGGTGCCGCAGCACCTGAGCGCAGGAGGTTGGCTCATCCAGAGAAATCAGTTGGCAGCGGTGGCGCCGCCCAGCCTCCACGGTACGCTCCCCTCACACTGTATGAGGAGAAGATGCTGCTGCGGCGTTTAGACGTCTGCCCACTGGCCTTGGCTGTCACCCCGCAGGCAAAACGCCTCCACAGAAAACTGCTGATCCGCCAGGCCAAGAGGCAGAGAGGGCTCCCCCTGCTGGACATAGACCAGGCTGTAAGTGCTACCCTCAGCCTTGTAGGTGGGATCTATGGTGCACAGAAGGCAGGGACAACGACAGGAGGCGGAGTCATGGGCAAGTTCTGCACAAACAGCCAGGAGCTGCGCATCCTTGACCGGTTCCAGGTACTTTAGATTGTGGTCCTTTATGCATCATTTACACCTGTATCATTGTAGCACTATTGGAATTGAACACAATTTACTATGGTGTGTTCTTGTGTGCAGACAAATATCTCGTCCAGAAGAGGGCTCCAGCAGCAATCTGTGTCATTTTGGCACCGACTGATGGGAGCAGAAGGAAGTTTGGAGCAAAGCATCAAGAGTCCATACACCTCACGCATCCTAAAGCCCTACATCAGGTATAGATAGAGCAGGTGCCGGGTGTCGCAACTGACAAAACTGCCAGAAAAAGAGTCAAGTGTATAGTGATCCCTCGAAGTCATAGTCCAGTAGTAAGTCCTGTGTTGGTGCCAGTAGTCATGTCTGATTTCGTCTTCAGGAGGGATTATGACAATCAACCATTGAAGCTGCGGTTACTAAAGGAAATCAGAGCGTACCCTCACAGGTCGGATCCAGACTGGTGCCCCGAAACCGAGGCCCCCATAGATTACTGCTACGTCCGCCCAAACCACATTCCCTCCGTCAATGCTATGTGTCATGACAGCTTCTGGCCAGGTAATGCTGACACCATTCTCAGACCTTGCATCACTTCCTGTCCCTGCTGTGGTGTCAGTGTTTCTCTGTCCCTCTCCTTCTGCAGGTGTGGATCTCTCAGAGTGCCTACAGTACCCAGACTTCAGCGTTGTCGTCCTTTACAAGAAGGTGGTCGTTGGTTTTGGCTTCATGGTTCCAGACGTGAAGTACAATGAGGCGTACATCTCTTTTCTGCTCGTTCACCCTGAGTGGAGAAGAGCTGGCATCGGAACCTTTATGATCTACCATCTCATCCAGGTTTGTCAACTCCTGATTGGTTTAGAGAGTGGTAAAAGTGTTTGTATTGATGAAGGCTAAATGTTGCTCAACAACAGACTTGTGTTTAAAGCTGAGGTCGAACTAAAACCTCCTTACATGTGTGTGTGTTGTGCGTTTCAGACGTGCATGGGTAAAGACGTGACGCTCCACGTGTCGGCCAGTAACCCTGCCATGCTGCTGTACCAGAAGTTTGGCTTCAAAGCCGAGGAGTACATCCTGGACTTCTATGACAAATACTATCCTGTCGACAGCCCAGAGTGTCGCCATGCCTTCTTCCTCCGACTGAGGCGCTGAGATGCCGCAGCTGCCTGTTCTTCAGTGTCTTACAGCAGGTGGACAGAATCTGACCAATCATTTTCTAGTGACTCGTAAGTGAAACAGCAGCAGGAGCTGGAGATACGTCACTCTGTGGCCCTAACAGGAAGTGAATAATGCCTGACTGTAATATTGATGTTGCCGACTGCCCTGTGGAAGACATCATATGAACAATATAAAGAGATGTTTGTTGCAAAGTCTGTTTTTATTTACAGTTATGTCACAAACACATGTCGATGGGCGGGGGAGGGACTGGGGGGGGGGGACTGAGGTCCCCAAGGAAAGATAGGAAACGCTC